CAGATGGAAAGGAGAAAGGACAGGTGAATTAAAGATAAAGTCCATCCTAATAAAGAGAACCAAGATTTTAGACTCCTTAACTTGATTTATTCGCCCTCAGCACCTCACCCGCTCACCTGGAGAACTGGCATGAGCAAGTGTAGTGGGCTCAGTGATGAAGAGTTAAGTAACAGGCAAAGAAAGATGTGTTTTATTGTAGCCTGTGACTCCATATCCTAATAAGTATCTACCACTACAGTTTAACAAATATTCCTGAAGGCCAAGACATCATCTGAGCTATGAAGTTTACTCCATCACACCTTAAGCACCATTTCACTAAAGGACCAGAACCTGAATTTACCCAAAAAGTACCAGCTTTGAGGATTTTCCTGAAAGGAAGTCTTTAAATGTGAAGTCCTAATAGAGGTTGTAAACAAGGCATTCCCTGGAGCAATCAGTACTGTTAACTTATTAACCTTACTATATTCAGAGGTACCCTGGAGCATTTTTTATTATAATCAAAGACAGTGTACTTGAATCTCATTCAATGTCAGGTGCAACATTAAGATTTCTCAAACCAAAAGTCTGTGCTTCTCTGGACCTCCAAATTCCTTATCATAATTAAAATAAATATTGGTTCAAGAATGATGATAACATAATAGAAAGTTGGCATAAGTAAATTTTACATCACCTGGAAAATGCCCCACAAAACTAAAAACAACCAGAGGATTCAAATTCTTGTCTGTCTGAATTTATATTCAAAATTCTTTCATTAATTCTGCTTATGAGAAAAAACTAGAGGTGTATGATATAGTTCAAGATGCCATGACCGTTTAAATGAGGGTTTTATTGCATTTATTTCAAATACCAATGGTGGTAAGAAATACGTCAGCATGTACAACACAGCCATATACACAAGCCCAAATGAGAATTATTTATTTCCCAAGAAGCTAGACTAAATATTCATTGACTAAATGGACTCCAATAAGCTGAGCTGTTGAGATTGTAATACAGAAACTTTGAATGCTCTTTCAAGGTAAAATATAGACATTTATTAAGAGCTTCAACTATCA